GTGGGGCGGCCGCCGGCCGTGGCGGCCTGCGCCTTACGGGCGCTGTAACGCGGGGTGGGAGCGGTCTGGTGGGGCTGGAGGAGGTCGGGATTTCTCACAGCAGAGGGGTTTGCGATCCTCCATGTTGCCGAGGCCTGGCTTCCCCTGACTGGGGGCTTGCCGGGGGCCAGCTGCTCGTTGCTCCCTAGCCCGGCCCTGGCTGGCAGGTCGCGGGTTGTTGTCTGGGCTGCTGTGACTCTTCCCTGAAGTTGCTGAGGCAGAACTGCTCCCGCCGTGTTACCCTGCACTCATGGCACCTCTGGCACCGGGTCTTGTCCCTCTGCCAACTCCAGTACAGGTCTTTGCGGTGGATTTCTCTCTTGGAGCGATTTTCACTGGTGTGTAGTTCACTTCTTTCCCCACCCCATAGCTGGAGTACTAAACCTAGTACTAAACTTACCGGATAGTACATAATACTAAGTGAAGTAAATACTAGTCAATAATAATCACACATGAAGCTTAACAGCATGCAACAGTTGTGTTGTTGTCCAGCTGTGCTCCAGTGCTAGTGCCATCAAAGGTGGGAACAACGCACTGGGACTCCATGATGAAATAAATGTCTGTAGTACTAGAGAGGAAGCGTGGTAAAAATTGTCACCTTCATCTTCACTCTTGTCACCTCCTGCTGTGCTGTAGAATGCCTGGAGAAGGATGTTTTGGGATCCCATCACAGAGAAGAGTTCCCCCTCTATTTTTTCCCTTGTCTTGCTTTCTGTCCTTTGTTTTTCCATAAAGCAACTTGAGTCAATGTATAGCATCAACAGTGGACTCTGCAAATAAAAATTTGTTTGTGTAAATCTGCCTCAACATTTTGTGCAATGCCAACACAGGCAGATGTTGGGAAACCAAGACAAACATTCATCCCTGCTTGTAATCAACAAATGCCAGGCCAGAGCTATAAAGCAAATTTTAGTATGGTGCAGATTTGAGAAAGGCGCCATCAGAATGAAAGGACAGATGAAAGTGAAGTGTTATAACCAGGAAAATTCTCCCCTGTTTGTCCTAAGCATGAGCTAGACTTGGGCAGTAAAGAGGAAACTGCCAAATAAATCTCTAGCTTAATCTTCCATTTTACTTTCTTTCCTGAAGGTGTTTTATTGCCAAGAGCCAAGAGACCAATGCAACATCACAAACTTTAAGGCAAGCTACCTATCATGATTACTGTGTGAGCTCTGGAAGGGTCTGTAGGACTGTTGGTAATACATAATATGGGTATAGAGCTTTCTGACAAGCTTCTATACCATCATACATTGTGGTGCTTCTGCTAGTGGGGAGGATGGCTAATGCTTTGCCTTTCTGCAAAGGAGTCTTAGAGTGAAAATATAAAAGAAGAGCTGCAAAGAAAGCAGCAGGGAATAAATTTTGCGATATGAAGAAGAAACATGTAGCAGCTGCAGTGAAATGACCCAGTACGTTTTGTTGGATGTAAATGTCAGTCACATCTGAATTTAGTTCTGAAAAGTGATAACGGACTGAAGTCACACACTCACTTTAGTTATCTTTCATTCTGCATGTACTTTTTACTGGAGTGGTAGTGTAAAATAGTTCAGTTATTCCTGCAGTATGATTAAAGTTGCTGGCTTTTTAATGAGAGGAAACGTTTTTCACATTCATTATTAAAATGCTATGTTTCTGTTCTAACTTTGAATAAGCAGCATGTAAAATAAATTGAGGAGCTGCATAAATACATATTGCAACATAACTGAAACTGCAGTGAGCATTGAATATGGGAGTTTCCTATGGCTTCCACTCATCCCTCCTGGCCATGCCTGCAGATGTGCTTCTGGGACAAGGGTGTCCTACTGGGATCAGGGCTTGATTCACAGGATCGCTTGTGATTTCACTAGACGTGTGGCATTATTTGAACTCAGGTTTTCCTTTTTGCAGTTCTTGAGAGTTATCATATTAAATATATCTCCAGCAGTTATCATAGTGTTTTATGAGGGATGCAGTGAAAGTTCAGTTAATGTGCTGGACACATGAAGTGTCATGGTTGCTGCAATCTGCATTTCATGAGGACGACATACTAAAAATCTCTCCTTTTCAGAAGGAAAACAAATAGGACATATATTGAATGTGATGCTAAAAGAGAAGACTCTAATCGTTGTGTGTGTATATATGGAAAAACCGGGAGAAAATGGAGTAGATAATAAAACAGAACTAAGATTAGCAGCAGGGCAAGAATTAGAGCTACAGCTCATCTCCACAAGCAAATGAAAACATGTCTTATCGTGTAATCCTGGGGGCTGGTGGGAATCCAAGTGAATGATAAATATGGTTTGTCTGTTTTTTCTTAAAGTCAGCATCTCGGGACTTTGATGTAGCATACAGTCAGCAGGATCATGGCAGTCTGGGTTGTTGTTGTTGGATTTAAAATATCACATTCATCACTGTATTCATTTTTCATTGCGCTGTTCTATACTTAGTGGTTAGTAAGGCATTTACCTCTGTTTTGAATCTATAAGGAATTCCCAGCACTGCATTGCTGGAAATTTATGTAAAGTCCTTGGCAAAAGCGGGTAAAACCTAAGGGTCTGCAGATGTCCATTTTAGGAAAGCACATTTTAAATGTAGTAAATGCCCAGAATTTGCAGCAGATCGCGTTGTATCAACTGATGCTGGGCAAGATGTGATAACGAGGCTTTTGAAGAGGTTCCAGAGGAGCGTACTGCAGTTTGGGATGGTAGCAATAAATGAAAAAAATTAGTAGATAAACTGAAGGGAACATATATTTGGTTCAGTTTGTTAACATCTATGTTCATTTCCAAATTGTCTTTTTACCCGCATGGAAAGAGAAGTGCATGTGCAAAGTGTAAATACACGGTGTTTTTTTTAACAAGGGATTTTTTTTTAACAGGAGTTTGGGGGGATTTCATACCATTACATAATGATGTATTATTGGATTCTGGTGCCATTCACCAACTTTGTCATTGTTCAGAAATAACGCATCAATTCCTGGGCTCAGAGCTTCTTAACCTTAGTTAATCCTTGCGTCGTGAGACGGGTTTGATGGTAAATCCCACTGTGGAGGGGTGTCTGATCAGAGCTGGATACAGCCTCAAGGCACATGCGGGGTTGTGCATGCTGTGCTGTGTGTTGTCTAAGTGTGCGTTTAAGGTGCCCATGTGTCTGTCCCCAGCAGAAATTCTGGGTGAGGGCATTGGCACCTGGCAGCAAGCAAGGTGGAGCTGTGTCTGGTGCCCCCTCACGCATGCTGTGGTACAGGCACTTGCTCAGGGCTTGAAAGGGTAATGATTGGAGCCTCCTGTCCATGGTTTATTAGCACACTGTCCTTTTAACAGATACACCTGTATGAAGAAAATATCTTTGTATGTAGTCTGAGGGCTTCTTTCATCACTTTTCATTTAGAGCAGCTTCTAAGAGAGTGTTTTGCTGGAGCTCAGCATAAAACTCTAATAAAGCAAAACTTGAAAGACACCATTTTTTCCTGCAGCAGTGACACATTACATAAATAAAACACTGTGTAATCCCATAAGATAATAATTTTCTCAGGGCACAGATTGCTGCTGTCTGCCCTTTATAGAAGGGAGTTTTTGTATATGGTTGTTGGGAAGGGAACTTCTCCAAAACCAGCAGTTGGTGATGGACGTCTTCACTTCCCCGTCTGCCCCTGAATTTCCTGGACTTTTGGAGAACCCGTGGCTTGCTTCTGGGCTGGCGTGTCCTCTGGATGCTTGGGCACGCCACTTCTCTGGTCTGGCTCACTCAGAAGAGGCAATGTGTTCCTAGTGACTTGATCAGAGATGTAGGTTACAAAAGAAAATATGGCACAAAACAATTTTGGATTGAGGTTAAGACAATTCTTCCTTTCCTGTTCATCGCCTTGGGCTCCTTAAGCATATCTAGCTTGCAGGCACTGGGGAACCAGGGTTGAAAGACACACTCTTTAAAAAAAAACTCGTTCTTTTAGGTGACCTTCTTAATTTCGGATGAAAGATTTTACCACATTTTTTCTGGCAGAGTGTCCTGTTGTGATCAATGCAAATACAGTAATTGTGGCTTCCCTGAAGGATCATTATGCCTGAAATTCAAAATATTTCCTGGTTGTACTCTCCTCTTCTCGTTATAGCATTTTCCATGTGGTGTAACTTCAGCCAGTTGTTCCCGTGCCCGGTCACCCTGCGCAGCTCTCCTACATCCTGAGCCTACAACACCCAGTGTGTCGTACATCCAGACATCATACTTGGTAGCAGCTCTGTGAGTTTTGGCACAGGATCAGCTTTCTGATACTTGACGTGATCAGGCATTTGTCTGCCCTGAGGCATCCTGAACACTGCCTGTTGCCAGAGCATGAGTTTCTGAGCCCTGAGTGCTGCTCGGATCAGGTCATTTGGACTCAAAGCACATGCTGTGCTCTGGCTCAGTCCCTTGTGGGGACACTGGGGACATCAGGGTGCAGCTGTACTACAGAGCAGACCTGCTATGAGCGACCAAGCCAACAGCAAATAAAGAAATCAATTAATTGGTCTTTAGCATTGTCCTCTATAACCTGCAGAACTAAAATTACTTTTCTGACTTTTAACATTTGAATACAATTTAAAATCCTTGCAAGAAATAAGAGCTACTAACCTCCATCCCGATACTGAATTTTGAAGCCATATTCTTTCATAACAATAGTCTCTATTACTTATGAAAAGTAATTTGTCAGGAAATGTATTATTTTATGAAGAAAATACAACACCGTACTTTCATCTTTGACACAGAACTATGAAGGGAAAATAGTTATTCTTTAGGCAGCATTGATTTGAAGTGTTCCTACAGAAGACTTAGTTCCTATATAGTAGTCTCTGTATAAATTGCAGAATGTTTTAGAAAAGAAAAGGAGAAAATGTGTTAAAGGCTCCTTAGCTAGCTACAGATATATATTAGATTAAAGAATCTTTTTGTTTTGTACCATAAGTAAAGCAAGTGGTAAAGTGAAGTGGTAACGAAAGTGGTAGAGTGAGGTGGATTGAGAACTGGCTGAACGGGAGAGCTCAGAGGGTGTGATCAGTGGTGCAGTCTAGTTGGAGGCCTGTAACAAGTGGTGTTCCCCAGGGGTCAGTACTGGGTCCAGTCTTGTT